GAGGAAGGATCCTAGGCGTATGGAAGCACTGCATGGCATCCTAGCTCCTCTCAGCTTCTGCAATATAGAGAAGCCCTCCATCCACCTTCCTGGTGTTGCCATGACAAACCTGTGCCTGTACTAGACACGGGTTTGCTTGCAGGGTACCATCTGTGGCCCACACTGAGGGCCTGTAGTAGGTTTCTGGGGGCAGCAGATGTGCCCTTGGGAACTTCATTGGAGAATGGGGTCTTTGTCTCAGAGAAGTGATGCAATGTACTCTGAAAAATCAAGGAAAATATGCAAACTGCTGGACCCCTAAGGGTCTGAAATTGCTGGGGCCACAGAAGTAGGGAAAAGGGGTTGACAATGAACCTCTAATCCCGGGAAAGTTGAGTCAGGAAGAGTCCAAGATCAAGAAACTGCCTGTATGGTATTGTGAATGCTCCCCATTCATTGAACAAAGAGAAAGAGCCACTCCATTTGATAGGTCATACCCCCCTCAAATAAAGCCAACACTATGCAAAAAATGGATAATGTTCTCTTTTACACCAAGTAAAACTTGGGGTCTATGATGAGACTAAGACTCACAGGCTTCTCGCTACTGTATTCTCTGCTCTTGACCATGAGACTGAACTGAGGCAGTGAGTGTCAAGGAAAGTTGCTAGTCGGTGATGACCGTGAGACTTCAGCTGTGGCCATGTGGGGTCGGGGTGGCAGGGGAGAGAAGCTGGGCAGGGCAGACACCAAACTGGCACTCTGTGTGTGTGCCATGATGAGTGTGGCACAGGAGGAGGGCACCAGTTGGCCTTGAGGGAAGGATGTGGAGTCTCTGGAAGCCAACCAGAGTGAGGAAAGGTGTTCCTGGTACAGGGATTTCCTTGGCAGATCTGGAGGCAACAGAAACCATAGAGAGCTTCAGGAAGCTCAGCTGACCGGGGAGGAGGCTGTGAAGGCAGGGTATGAGGTGTGGTGTGCTCTGCCTGCTCTGCAGGAGGTGCTGGGCAGCTGCTAAGGAGCTTAAAGCTATGCATTTTTATGTGTTTAAAGTGGGCTTGGTACTGTTTTTCATTAAACTGTGAAGGATCTTGGTGTCACCAGTCTGGAGGGAGAAGGTAGGGAAGGGCAGTCAGTTTGGAGGGGAATGTGAGGGCGAACCAGACAGTGACCCTCAGTGCAGCTGATCTTTGTTTCTTCACAAGACCTTCCTGAGATATCACATTACATTAAATACATGAGAGGCCAGCTGTACTGGATTGTTTCTAGAGAGCTTCAAACAGAAATCTCTAAATACATTTTGTGTTTAAGATGCCACTTTGATTTTGCTCCTTTTCCTCAAGACTCGTCATACAGCTGGCTTCGGGATGACTGTTGAGTCCCCAGGCTGCCCCTCGGTCTGTCAGTGACCACTGTGACAGCTGATGCTGTTGGATGCTGATGAATGCACTCCTCACTTCTGGTTACTAATAGGACCCCTTTTATTTGTCTGTTTCCTGCTAATTTCCATAACAATAACCATGAAATAGTGGTAGGGTGGGGAAGGGTGGAGACCATCTCAGACAATTTTTCTTCAGGACTTCACAAAGTGGCTGCTTCCCCCTCCCCCATCAAGTCACTGTGAGCCTCACGTTCCTCCTCAGGTCCCCATAAAGCAGCATCTTGTACATCCCTATCCTGCATCCATCACACACACAACCATTGCTGCTATTTATAGAATTTACAAAGTATCTGTCTTTCTGCTGAAGGCAGAAACCTCTGAGCTTTTCCTTAATTGCTTTCCCAAGACATGCCAGAGTTCTAACCAGGGGTTCAACACATGAACCAATGAATCCTCATAACTTCATGCAACAGGCGTCAGCTTCATCTTAAAGACCTGAAAACAAGTTCAGATAGGTTTAAATTTGTTGCAGGTCCAACACAAGTAAGTGGTTGGAACTGGAACTAAAGCCAGCCCCGCTGTCCTTGAAGGTTGTTTGCATCCCTATTATGTCTTTGATAACCAATGGCTTTGATGATTAATTTTTGATCTGAGTCTACCTTAAAAAAATCCAGCTGTGTGGGCTGGAGAGTGGCTCAGTGGTAGAACACTTGACTAAGTGTACAAAGCCTTAATTCCATCCTCATTACTAGAAAATTTTACAAAAAGGAAGAAAGGAAGAAAAGAAAAGAAAAAGAAATCTTGTTAGCACAAAGAATGACATCATCTTTGTGGCAAGTTTGGACAAGTGCTGAACACCTGTGGTGTTCATATGAGGACATGGTGGCCAACACAGACCTCCGTGGAGCTCATATGTACTGTGGCTGCACCTGCCGCTGCTTACCTGTGTGCAGGGAGTTCATGATGTCCTCAGGCACTGGCTAATCTGGCCCATCTGCTCATGCTGAAAGGATTTAGGGACAGTTTAGTAACTCATTATGTAGAGAATTACAAATGTGCATAGTTCCCTATTGTGGGAAATGGCTTTAGGGGGTCTATGGGTTCCCCATGTAGGAAATGTAATTTCAGGATCTGTGGGTTCCCTATGATGAGAAATGAAATTTTGAGGTCTGTTGGTTCTCCATAGTGGGAAACAGAATTTGGGGGTCTGTGGGTTCTCCATTGCAGGATACGGAATTTGGGAGTCTGGCTTCTCCTTTGTGGGAAACGGAATTTCGAGGTCTACGCATTCTCCCTAGTGGGAAATGGAATTTTGGGGCCTGTGAGTTCCCAATTTTGAGAAACAATTTCAGGGCCTGTGGGTTCACTAGGGCAGGGACCCCTGGATAGCCTTGTAAGTAATGTGGTTCAGTGGACTGCTGAACAGAATCCTCCGTCTGCTGAGTTTGCCTTGCATACACATTTGTTTAGTTAATAGCTCTCTCTACAGCTGTCACAGAGTCTTCTTTGGCAAGCATGCCCTCCTGTGGCTTGGAGAGGATGTGTTGCTTTGTTATGGCCGAGAGGATGGATTTGTGTTCCTTCCGTGTCCTTCAAAGATCTGGCCTAGCTTACTTAAGGTGAGACCCATGCTTGCAAGTTCTTTAGCTCCTTTGGAAGAGAGAGAAGCCGCACCTCTCTCTTTTAAGAACCAGCCCAACTGGAAAGTAAGTTCCAGGAGGCGCTGTAGGTACATTCACTAGGCAGAAGTGGGAAGCTGTGAAATTGAGAGAATTGAACATGCAGCCCAAAAAAGCAGCCTGGGAGCCTTGGGGCAAGAAAAAGCACAGTTAAGCACAGTTTCTTCCTTATCCAAGGTACTATTCTTTATTCTAGGTCCAGTGTGGCTGGGCTAGGAGGGAGCACACACAGTGGGCTCAGTCTAAGTTACCTGGGCCAGGAGTAAACTAGACTGTCAGGAAAGGGGTCAGTTGTAACTACTTTGTTAGCAGATTTGCATATGCATATGATATGCAAATATGGGGATGATTAGTCTCTCACATCCTAGCAGTTGCTGAACATTTGCTTTCTACCCACAGTTCTGAGGAAGTCATTGGAGCCCTGAGTCCAAATAAAATATTCATTTCTCAAATTAGATGATTAAGCTATTCCTTAAACACACAGAGCAAAACAAAATAAATGCCATCCTTTTCAGGAACAGAACTCTGTGTTCCTTGCTGCCACTTGTCACTTTGAACATGGAAGAAGAAGTACCTTTCTCCTGCCAGTTTTCTCTCCTTTGGGCCACTCTAAGATCCGGACCTTCCCCAGTGCCTTGTTCTTGTCAGGTAGACAGAATGCAGACTAAATTACCAAATCCACACCACTGCTGGGCACTGTTCTTTACGGGGTAGTAGTTCTCATTTATTCCTCACAGTCAGAGTCCAGAGCCCAGGTTCTTAATCTTGATCTCAGACTGCCTGCAGGGATCATTTTCACTCAGACCGGATGTTTCCTAACATTTCCTTCTCAGCGCTGAGTTCTTTACTCCAGGTAGGTCTTGGCCAACCCTAAATATGGATAGGAGTGGCGGGCTTCTGATCACAGGGGGGTGGGCTGGCTAGGCTCTGGAGCCTGGCCCTCCCTCCACTTCTTACACCTCCGAGTTTCCACACAGGCTCCCAGGGACACATGTCTCCCTCAATGCCCTCTCATTTGTTGGGACTTCTCTTCTCTGTAGTAGATCCCTGTTAGGAAATGTAACCCACCCTCATTTTTCACAGCTCCCATATTTGCTAGTTCGCCTGCACAAAAATTTGTTAGTAACCGCAAGTGAGTATTCATGTTGATTTTGAAGTCATTTGTGGACACCTAGAAGGCAGTGAAGCATTTGGGTCACCTGTATATGCATGCCACTTGCTGAAACTGGACAATAAATGTGTGCTTTTTCCTATGGTCTATTTAGTGATATATTTTTCCATTTTTGTGTTTTTTTAAATTTTATGTTAAAGAAAATAAAAAATTTAACAATATAACAAGAGAGACAAAAACAAATGAAATGGTTTTCACAAAACCAATGAAAACGATACAGGATTTCAAAACAAGATGATAAGAATTAACAATGTTTGTTACATTACACATTGTTGTCTTCAATGAAGTTGCCCAGATTACCAGACATAAGAATGCAAGATTGATCAAACAATTCATTTTTGTGCTTTTGTTGGTGATTTTTTTGTGGGGGAGGTATGGTCCTTGGGATTGAAACCAGGACCTAATGCTTCTAGGTAAGTTCTGAATCACTGAACTGCATCCCCAATCCTTTTTATTTTATTTTATTTTGAGACAAGATCTCACTAAGTCACTAAATTGCCTGGTCTAGGCTTGAACTTGCGACCCTCCTGCCTCATCCTCCTGAGTAGCTGGAATTACAGGTATGTGCTACTTCCTCCTCCAGCCTTTGTTGGTGATTTTACAGTATCAAATGTCCCCGAGCATAGTGCATATTATGATTTACATCTAGAATGTCCCTCAAAACTCTTATGTGCTCAGAAGTGGGGCTTTTTGGAAGGTGATTGAACCGTGGTGGGGAGGGCTTTAGCGGACTTGCTGTTAGGAGGTAGTGCCTGGTTGGAGGTGGGTCACTAAGGGTTGCTCTCCCTCCCTGGCCCTTCCCTTTCTCTCTCTGTTTCCTCGTCGCCATGATGTGAGCAGCCTTCCTCAGCTAGACCCTTCCACTGTGTTCTGTCTACTCGGGAGCCAGCCAAAGCAGACTGTAACGGTGAATCAAAATAAGCTCTCCCTCTTTAAGTGGTGAGTGTCATGTGTTGTGCTGCACCAGCAAGGAAGTGGGGAACTAATCAGAGCTGGTGTTTCCAGGCATGAGGAAGTCATGACAGGTCTCACAGAGAGAGGACCTGTGCTAGGTGAGCTACAGTCAGGAATAAACTATAAGGCTGCTGGCCAGAGTTCAACATTAGTGAGCTATACATGTATTAAAAATATATGATGGTGTATATAATATGTTAAATGTGGCATCAATAAACACACACAAAACAAGGTTATGTATTTATTGGTTGGAGAAAATGTTATGACCAGGGAGTCAGGAACCTGTTAGAGTGTAGATCTGGAATGTCCCCAAGAGACCCATCTGTTAAAGGCTTGGTCACCAATCTGTGGTGCTATTAGGAGCAGATGGAACTTTTTCAAGGAGGGGCCTGGTAGGAGGGGGGTAGGTCATTGGGAGGGTGGCTTAGAAGCTGGTGTTGAGACCGCTTCCTCTCTCTTTGCTTCCCAGCCGCCATGAAGTGAACAGGCCTCCTCTGCCATGTGCCCTCACCATGACATACTGTGCTGCTGCAGGCCCTAAGGACAGTGCCAGTGGCCATGTACTGAAACTTCTGAAAATGTGAGCCAAAATAAAACTTTTCCCTTCTCAAGCTGATTATCTCAGATATTTTGTCAAAGTAACAGAAAGCTGACTGACACAGAACCTAACCTGTGTTTCCCTAAGGATCCCTAATATTCACTAGTGTTCATGACAACTGTAGAGAACATAAATTCTACAAGTAATGATAATGATCTTATTTGAGAGCCTCTTAAATACCAAAAAATTTCCTAGAGTCATATTTAAATTAACCCGAATCCTCACCCCTATGAATTAAGTATCATCTGCTCAGATGGTAAATTTAAGGTCTAAATAATTGGCCACTGCCAATGAGCTAGAAAGAGATAAACAAAAACAAAAACAAGGCCAGATAGCATATGGCTTTATTGGTTTTTTTTTTTTTTTTTTCCCTTTTTGCTTACTGCTTTCACTGTGTGAACTAATTCCAGCTTGGCATCTTGTACAGCTTAGCCCTGCCCGTGTCCCCTCTCCCAAGGGTTTTCTTTGCACTGGCTTCAGCAAGCCCTCCCCCAAGTATTCTCTCTACCGCACACTACAGTGGAATCCTCCTCACGGACGCCATGGTAATTTCATACTCCATAGCCAGATGCTTGAATCGCCAGCCTTTCCTTCTCTTCTTCCTCCCCTGCTTCTGGAAGCCATGGCAGTCAAGATTTCCAGATAAAGCAAAAATGTCTTCTATAGGAGAAAGAGGAGGAAAAAGACAAAAGACAGGGCCAAAAGTGGACTTCAAGGAGGGAGTGCAAATGCACTGAGTTTGGGAGAGTCCCTGACGGCGCTGGAACAAAGGGAGAGTCAAGGTGGGAGACCCCACAGAACAGACAGTTGTACACCCATCACTCACCCTGGCATCATTCTGTACATTTTTAAAAATTTTATTTTAGAGAGGAAAAAAGTAAAACAAGATTTCAAAACAAGATAATAGGAGGATAACAATGGTTAATACATTGCAGATTGTTATCTTTAAATTAGGTGCTCGGAGTACAAGATTTAATTGTCCAAACAATATTAGCACAAACCTTTATTTCTATTGAACTAAGAGAAATTAGTAATATAATGATCTTAACTATCATCTATCTATCTATCTATTTCCTTTCCTTCTTTGCTCCTTTCCCCCATCCCAGTGTCTCTTTCTTTTTGAACAGTTTCTTCCCATTTTACAATATTCAAAATGGATCAAAGACTTAAATATTACAATAGAAACATTAAATCTGATGGAAGATAGAATAGGTAAAACTCTTGAAGACACTGATGTAGGCAAAGACTTTATGTATGGATCATACAGGAACTATCACAAAGAATCAACAGTAATTACATCTTATTAAAAAGCTTTTCCACAGCAAGAGAAACCACCAACAGAGTAAAGAGACAACACACAATGTGGGAAAAAATGTTGCCAACTGTTTCTCAGGCAAAGGATTACTATCAAGAACATATAAAGAACTAAAAAAAAAAAAAAATCAGACTCCCCAAATTTACAGACCCAATCCAAAAATGGGCATCTGAGATGGATACACACTTCTCAGATGAAGAATTACAAACAGCAAATAAATATATGGAAAAAGTTCAACATCACTGGTCATCTGAGAGATACAAATTAAAATAAAACTGAGATTCCCTCTCACCCCAGAGAGAATGGCTATTATCAAGAAATCAACCAATAACAAATGCTGGAGGGGCTGTGTGAAGAAAGCAACACTTCTCCACTGTTGGTGGGAATGTAGACTGCTGCAACTGCTGTGGAAATTCCTAAAAAACTAAGATTGGCTGTTCCATTTGAACCAACTATTCCCCTTTTGGGTATGCTCCCAGATGAATTAAAAACATTATACCACAGCAATATATGTGCACCCATGTTTATAGCAGTGCAATTTGTAATAGCTAGATGTTGGAAATAATCCAAATGCCCATCAACCAATAAATGGATAAAAAAGATATAGTCTTTTTATACAATGGAGTACTGCTCAGCCGTAAAGAAGGATAAACTTGAGACTTTTACAAGTAAATAGATGCAATTTGAGGTAATACTCAAAAGTGAAATAAACCAGACTCACATGTATAAACATCATACTGTCTCCCTAGTGTGAGTAACTGAAAGAGTAAATAAGATTCAAAATATATAATAGATATTGCAAATTGAGAAGAAACTGTTCATTCTGTATATTTTAAAAGTTTTCATTTATGTAATCTCATTTGCATATCATAGCCACTTTGAGTAGGTGAAGGGCACATTCTATTTTCTAGCTAATTGATCAGAAAACTGAAGCATGAATACTCTAGTGATTTGTTCAAGGTCATGCAATTTTAATTTAAATGACATTTGGGGTAGGTTATTTCTATCATACAGCAAAATTCAGTAATTGTTATCCTAAGATTTTAATTTGTAAGCCAATGTCAAGAATAGTACATGAGGACACAGATGTATTCTTTATTTGATACTTGTACCCTATGACTGTTTCAATATTTTTACTCAACCATAGTTTCTCTAAAATTCAAAGCTCACATTAAGCATTTGACTAAAATACAGCAAAACTAGTGTTCATTTCAAGGGGATCAAAATGTCTTCCATGGGTGGGACTGGGTCTGAGAATCTTTCTAGGGATATTACTAATGTCAAAAATAAATCAGAAATGAACAGATAAGGATGTAAAGATGGCCTTTTGTGTAAAATTGAAATCATTCCTTTTCACATTCACAATCCTTATCCCGATGCTAGATACCCAGTTTTGCATGATGGCTTCCTCCCAGATATAAGACTCTCCATGGTAGGATTTTGATGATACTGTGATTGATGTCAGCAGGTCCAGATGGCGATGTTTGGTTATTAGTTTAATGATATACAGTAAGCACATTCAGTGACAGCGGCTATGGGCTGGATTGGTGCCGAGAGATACCAAAGGAAGATCAGTCTATAGGCCAGTGAGGGGTTAAGATCCGCATGATGTGAATCACAGTCACCTCTCCAGATTCGGGGCTCATATACCTTCGTTTCCTGTATGCCTCCCACCAATGCGATTCTTCTTATTGCATAATGCTGACATCTGGGAGAGACTTGGTGGCTCCCCCAGGGGCCTGGTGCCTGCCCTGGGCTTTGCACTTGGCTGTTTGCCTCTGAGTAAAGAGCTCCTGTCACCCACCCACGCAGGAACAGAAAATAACCGAGACCCATTTAATTCCGAGACACACATGTGTGCAGGTCTGTGCTTGCATCATCAAAGTGCAGGGTTTCAGGGTGAGGGCAAGATCCCTGACGGGCAGTGGGATGCTCATGGAGAAGACAGCGTGAACGCTGTAGGGTTTCTTTCATATGTGAGGTGGTTGTGGAGTTGTTTTCTGGGAGGAAAATGGCTTTTTAATAGAGAAACTTCCTTGGCTAGTTGACGAAGCTTTTTTCTTGGCTAAAAGTAGTTCCATCTATTATATCCCGGAGCGTCTGGCTGTCCTGGTGGAGACATATGAGCACAACCCCGGGCCTGGAATATCCCAAGAGGGCAAGAATAGCCATAATAAGAGCTGACTTCTGCCACTCTGGTCCCTGCAGTTGTTACAAATGCTTGCCTCGGAGGCAGGCAGCTTGGAAACCAGTCAATGTGGAGTCAGAAACACTCACCTCCTGCTCCTGGGCTCAAACACTTCTTTTCACAGCTCCAACTCTTATCTCTAAGTCTTTGTAGCTAAAACAGATTTATTCCTGTAAGGATTTTCCACCTTCTTGGAGGCCGCAGACCCGTGCGTCTGTAACGTTCCGGAGGCATGGAGAACTTGGACTTGCTGGGGTTCCTCATCATCACGTTAAACTGCAATGTGACCATTGTGGGTGAGTGTTGGGAGAACCCCAAACTCCTGCTCTGCTGTTATTGTTGTTGTTTTGCTTGAGTTGAGTCTGAAAGGGTCCGAGTGTATCTGTTTTCAGCTTTCCCGGTCACTCCTAAGGCCAGTGTGTTGCTGGAGGACAGGGAGCGTGGAGAGAGGCTGTTCTCCAAGAGCACCACGGCTCCATCGTTGAATGAAACCTTGGGGTGAGCTTGGTTCCATTCAGGCTGCCTCCTCACTACTGAAGCCAGAGGGAGGAAGACTTGTGTGCAACCTTCTTGGGCTTGTTACCAGGAAAAGAAACAATATAGTCAAAGATAACGAGAAGGTACTGCCTGGGTTATGCTTCCTTCTCATGCGTCTTTCTTTGGTTTTGTGCTTGAAACTTAATTTGTAAAGATGAGTATTTTTTTCTTGTGCACTTAACCAAATAACAATTGTAGCTTAGTTCATAACTTTTATTTCACTTTATTTTTTTTGCATTGTGGGGGATGGAATCCAGGCCCTTGCTTATGCCAGGCAAGGGCTCCACCACTGAATTACACCCCCAGTCTCTCCCTTAGTTATTAACAAAACATAGAATAAAGATTCTGGCTTTGACATAGATGAGTCAAATTTCAGAGAGGTGTAGGTGTCAAGGCAAAAGGGATTGAGGAAGGAAGGGACTAATGTGTACTGAGATGTGGTTGCTATTTTTCTTACTCATTATTTTGTAGAATTTAAACAAAATCAGCCGCATGTTAAAAGTTCAAGCTGGTGAAATTATCATCTCGTGATAATCATTGAACTCGGCTGCCTTCATTTATAATAGGATTTTGTTTTTCTAATGTCAGAAGATGCTTTATCTTGTCACAAAATTTAATATTTACAAGTTATTTTGGCTGTGTTTTAAATGCATTCCAAAATTGGTGACCCATGATGTGACAGTGGGATTTGGAATTATTTTGATTGCTTAGGTTCATTCATTAATTTGAAATGGAAGAAAAACAAGCCTCATTATTTCATAGAATACGGGAAATTATTGAAAAATTGAGTGTTGTTAAAGGAGTTCAATTTCAAGGACAAAAGAACATTATACACAAGTCTTGTGACTGAATAGGGATCTTGTGTGCCACTGTCATAAGTAAGGGAGACACTGAAATGAGCAGCTTATGTTTTTGCTACAGGGTTACAGGAATATGCTAAAATCTTTTAAAACATCTTATTCTCATAAAAGGAGTAAGATATTTTTTACATCATTGATTTACTCAAACAAACTTTCTTTCTGGAAATTTTAGTCCAAAAGATAAAAACAAATGTCTAAATTAGTGGAGTCAGATTAAAACATTTTTAGTGTATACTGTTCTTTTTTTTATTAGTACAGGTTTGCAGCACGTAACAGTCTCATTTTATTATGGGAAGTTGGTATAATGTTCTTTAAAAACCTGCTCATCTGGAAGCATCATGCAATTAAGTTCAGCGCACTCTCTAGGACGTTCTAAATGCTCAATAAATAAATAGAAGATGAACAAGGCAGCTGATACTGTTGCTGTGACTAAATACATGCCTATTGACTCCTCCTGGTCACCCAGGAAATATTTAAAAACGGTTGTTTAGATAAAATCTTAAGTTTGCTTTATTTCCGATTCTGAAATTGGGCAACGTGAGATGGAGTAAGTGTTCCCGGGAGATGTGTTGATGAGGCGGTGATGAGGCCACTCCTGCTTGCTCTTTTTCAGGAAAGATCTGGCTGCTCCTCACAGTGCTGCTGAGGATGGGCGTGGTCATCCTGGCAGGGTACCCGATCTACCAGGATGAGCAGGAGCGCTTTGTCTGTAACACTCTGCAGCCGGGCTGCACCAACGTTTGCTACGACATCTTCTCCCCTGTGTCCCAGTTGCGGTTCTGGCTGGTCCAGGGCGTGTCTGTGCTCCTCCCTTATGCCATGTTTAGTGTCTATGTCCTCCACAAGGGCACCCAGCTTGCATTCCGGGGAGCCTGCCGGTCCGACGGAGGGGCCCCAACTGTGCCAGACTTCTCCTGCGGCTACCTCATCCACCTGTGTTTCCGGACCCTGACGGAGGCTGCGTTTGGGACCTGGCATTACCTCTTCTTTGGGTTCTTGGTCCCTAAGAGGTTCTCTTGCACGCACTCTCCTTGCTCCAGCGCGGTGGATTGCTACGTCTCTCGGCCCACAGAGAAGTCCATTATGATGCTTTTCACCTGGGCCATGAGTGCTCTCTCCTTCCTCCTCAGTGTCACAGATCTGCTTTGCAGTGTGCAGAGAAGGATCAGCCGGAGGCGAGGCCCCGGGCAGGGCGTGAGCAGCTCCTACATCAGCAAGGAGTGTGGAGTCCGAGCATCTCCTCCGGGCCGCACTAAGGGAAGCAAGCCCGGCGAGGTGGAGGAGGACGGCCGGTGGGAGGAAGAGGCGGTGCCTTCTCTCCCTGACGGGTGGGCTGGAGGGCAGAGTACCAACAGTTCCAGCGTTCAGCCTGCTGCGTCCGGCTGTGTGGCGCTGCAGGCCGAAGGCGGGAGTGAGGGGCCGCCCTCAGCCAGCGACAAGGTGCCTGTGGCCCACACAGAGCCTGGAGGCAGACACCCCCAAGAGGCTACAGAGGACCCAAGGAGCAAGGGCCTCGCCCGGTCAGAGGTGTGCCCCTTCGCCTCTCAGAGCCACCTGGCTGGCAGCTACTCACCTAGCCTGCTACAGCCTCCTGAGCAGCTGGCAGCCTCTGGCAGCATTCCCCACCTGAGAACCAAAAAGTCTGAGTGGGTGTGAAGAGTATACGTCAGGCAGTGCCCCGGGAGCCCAGCCCCACAGCAGGGCACTGTCCTGGGCAAAGGGTTCTGCCACGAAGACGCAGACAAACACAGCCTGACACAACTAAGTTCTTGGCAGCAGGTGAGCTGCCAGAAGGACAGACGAACTCCCTGGGAGACCAGATACGGATTAATTTAGATAACACTTGCTCTTGTAAAAGCGCCTGACATTTAATGTGTGTCCCTAGCTATAGCACGGAACGAGAGAGTGCAGAGTTGTTGCTCCTCATGAGATTCTTACGTGTGCTGTGCGTGCACTGGGTCTATTATCTTGTTCTTTACCATGTGTGTGTGAATGTAAAGCATGCTGTCTTACACTAATAGAGCTCAATATGCTTAGGTTTTTCTGGTGAATTATTAGGATTTGGCTTTGGTTTTGGTTCTGGTTGATGGGAGGCACTGGTCATGCATGTCATCACTGGAGATGTCAGTTTACCTCTTTAAAAAAATGAACACTGAGTGTACTGCAGTAACTGCTTCCTGCTTCGGAGTGTGAAGGGAAAAGTGGCACATGCAGGGAACAGAACTCAGAGACAACTGGCGTGGGGCTGTCGTGTTGTTATTGCACGGGTTGGGTACACAGGGTGTGGCGTGAGTCCAGGGCCGGCTGAGCCACCATGTGTAGCTGAGCGGCTGCCCTCCCCCTGTGAAGGCAGGACTTTTACTCTTGACCAGTAGCTGAGGATTTGTCACAAGCTTTTCAGTCCAGGTTTTGCCCAAGTCCTTTTGGGGCAGTGCAGTTATGAAGGGCCTGAGGGCCTTACTCTAGTGCAGAGGAGGGGAAAGACTTTGAGGGCTATGTTAGAGCTTTCTGTGTGCACACTGGAAACAAGAAGCCTTGGGAAGGGCTTGAAGTAATGGTCCCCCCGCCATTTTGTGTGTCACTGCTTCTGATTTTGGTGCTTTCCCAGTGAAAGTCTGACTCTATTCAGTGTTGGAGCTTTTCTGCTGCTTCAAATTGAGCAGATGCGAAGACACATCTGGTACAGGGCCGAGTAAACCAGCTCCCCTTGATAGAGAGGGGGAACAAGCCATCTGGATCTAGTTCTAGACCTGAACACTGTTCTCTGGGCCCCAAATATGGAGTAGCTGAAGAATAGGATCCATCCTTCACTGCAGCAAATAATATAAAAAAAAAAGGAAACCAATGCACTGGTGAAAACAAGGGACTTTTGAATTGTTCTAAAGAGACCTTGGCAATAAAATATCTGCCAGAATGACAAATAACAGCCTGCTAGATGTATCTACAGGTTGTCAAAGCAACTGGTTACAATTTAGAAAAAAGAATCATACAGCTGGGTGTGGTGGTGCACACCTGTGATACCAGCACGCTGAGAGGCTGAGGTAGGAGGGTACAAATTTGAGCCCAGGAATTTAGCAATTTAGTGAAAGACTGTCTCAGAATGCAAGAGAGACAGACACAGGGAGAGACAGAGACACACACAGAGAGACAGAGAGAGACAGGCAGGGGATATAGTTTAGTGTGAAGGCTCTGGGTTTAGTTCTCAGTACTAAAAAAAAAAAAATCCAAAACTGGTTTTTGCATAAGACCATTTGAATTAATGTGCCTATTTTCCCATATTTTCTCTCTCTCCCTGCAACTCTCTCACTTTTGCTCCGGAAGCCACTTAAATTTGTAATCTATGCCCCCAACTCTTGGTGTTCTATATTAATGCCTAGCACAGCGGCTGCTCAATAAATGTGAATTTTGAGTCTGATATCCCTAAAGTATCAGAAGCAAATATTGCTGTCCCATGCAGCATATAACTGGGGTGGGCTCTCTAAGGTCGAGCATGGTCTTACTGTTAGAGGCACCCGTGAAGTCTGCCTTACCTTCAAGCACTTCAGTGTGGGCCTGGATAACACTTTGTGAGGAAAAGAACTTGAATCAACAAGTATCAGTGGTGTGCACCCCTGCAGGACTGGGAAAGGGTCAGCAGTGCTGGGGTTCTCTCCTGCCACGGCATGGGTGAGCTGGGTTCCGTCTCTGACAGGAGTCCAGGCTCAGCTGTGGGTTTCCAGAGGAGTGATTACATGGTGGCACTGGGAGTGCTGCTTTGACCGCCCTGATGTGGTCCCACATCCTACCAGGAGAGAACTAGTCTTGAAGTTTGCTCCGTGGAAAACTGCAGGTGAGGAGATCTGGTGCCAGAGGAAATGACAGTAGCTATGCTTAGCGTAAACTTGAGTAAAGCCAGAGACTTTCTCAGATCAGATAACCCACCCAAGGACCTGACCAGTGGTCTTGCTTAGCATCCCCTAGGAAACCCATACTCCAGTCCCCAGATTTATTAAATGCTTCTTATGTGATACCTGTAGTTGCCTGGCAGCTCACTTCACCCTGCTGAGCCTCAGTTTCCTCTTCTGTGTGACTGGATGGTTCCAAAATGGTCTATAAACTTTAGGACTCTGAGAATAAGATGTGTGGTTGTTAGTTATTTTAGATTAGTAGCCTTTAATGGTGGCAAGATTTCAAACTTTTTTAATGTCAGAAAAATAAGAGATGGTTCAGGAGTCTGTGCTCCTCCCACCAAGTTGCCAAGTACCTTGTGGTCTAGTCACGATCCTTGTAGCTGCTCTAACAGCTAAACTCCAGCTCTAGCCACCAGCACAGAAGTTTTGCAGGCGCTTGTGACTGGAGAGTGGCTCTGCTACTAGGAGTGACGCAGGGACCCTCCAGCTAGGGGCTCCTGCACCCAGAAGGGCCTGATGCACCTGGTCCGAAGAGCGTACCAGCACATTTGGGTATGTTTTCTGCCTAGATCTCGATTTCAGCTGCAAAGGAGGCTGAGAAAGGTGACGCAGGAGGAGGGAAAATTTGGGGGTGAACATTATCCGGTGTTCGTCTTAGGCAGAACTTTTCTGGATACCTGCCCCATAAGAAGCATTTAATAAATCTGGGGACTGGAGTATGGGTTTCCTAGGGGATGCTAAGCAAGACCACTGGTCAGGTCCTTGGGTGGGTTATCTGATCTGAGAAAGTCTCTGGCTTTACTCAAGTTTACGCTAAGCATAACTACTGTCATTTCCTCTGGCACCAGCAGAGATGAAATAAATAGAACCGGTTGAACTGGGGCTAGTACCCAGATTGCCTATACTTTAGGACTGTCTTCTTAATTAGTCATGTTCAATAAGAAAGGACTATAGTTTAAGTGTGCACGTGTGAGTGTGTGTGTGCATGCGTGCATGCCCATGTGTGCTTTGGTTTAGCTTTTTGGTTTTTGCATAGTACAAAGGGCTCATGTGAGATTGTTTAACTTTCTGGGGACTTTAACTCACAAGTCTCTTCCCAGGCCAGTGTGCAAGTGGTTCTAAGGTGTCTGGCAGTGATAGAAGCCACTGGTAGTATCCAGACTCTGAACCAGCGTGCACAGCTGGCTAGTTGCAGAGACAAAAGGGAAAGAGATCATGAGGCTCAGTGGGATTATGTGAATAAAGCAGGTTGTGCCTAGCCAAGAAAGGTAATGTTTATGGAATTAATAAATGCAACCTCCACCCCTTTAATAGGATGTTGCAATCTACTGTGAGATCCACTTTCAAATTTGGGGGGTATAAATTTAGTTTCAGGCACGAAGTGATGAAGAGAGTGATCCTTTCACACCAGCAGGGGGGGCATCCTCACTTTCTGGCACAGACTTGCTGAAGTACTGTGCTGGGAATGCCTCCTACCTGCAACTTCTTTCCAATGCCAGGGAGAGGTTAGCAGTAGAATCTGGCAAACCCTGCCACCTGTGTTTTGGTTGTGCTGTGGAATAAAAGTTTCTTAGAAAGGAAATGGATGCCCCACTCTGCATTTTAAGTGTGTATGTGTGTGTGTGTGTGTGTGTGTGTGTGTGTGTGTGTCCTCTCTCCTGTCAATTACAGAGCAATCCTTTCCTTGGGGAACTTTCAACCTGAGGGCCATCCCTGGTCTTGGCTTTCGAGTGCCAGTTGAAGTGGCACACAGCAGAGCGACAAGAATTCCAGGACTAAATCAACTCACAAGCTGAACCCAGATAAAATGCGTTTCATGGGGAATCTGGGAAATGAAAAGTAATTATGGGCTGCAGGTGCTGGTCAGTGGCACAGCGTTTGTCTGGCATGCATGAGGGCCTGTGTTTGATCCCTGGCATTGAACGGAAAAAGCCTGAATTAAATAAAAAAAGGTTTTCTCCTTCTCTGAGTGGAAGGAACAGAGAGACACATGACAGAGTGTGCCCCACAGCATGCCACAATCAGCCATCGACTGCTCGGGCCATCCTAAGAATAAGAAGCTCCTGCACATCCCACCTGTCTCTGGGCTGTTCCTCTCCCTCCAGCCTCTGTGGCAGGAGCTTTAGTCCTTCACACCGGCCCTGTATGTGTCTATCAACAGGCTGAAAAATAAGATTTCAGATCTCTGGAACTAAATTGATAAAGTAGTATATTTTGCCAGTTGAATCTGATCCTAAACTTGATATTTTGCTTCTGTTGCTTTCTATGAAGCTTTTAAAAATCAGCTTATCTTATGAGCAGCCAGCAAAGTGAGACGGAGGCGTTCTAGTGGTGCCACTCAGCGCTCCAGCTCTGTAAACCTCCACGTTCTCAGGGCTGATGGAGCAGGGAGCCTTGTTGGGGAACCCCGGGACAGGATACAACCCTGTGTTACCAGAATGTGGCTCTTGGGCTGTGAAATCATAGATACCTGATCACTGCAAGTGAATCCCTCCAGGAATTGGTAACAGCACATTTCCTAGTGGGGAAGAGGGTCGAAGACTTAAAAACACCCCACTCTTCATCCTACTTCTGAACTCACCAGCAGAGGCCTCTCTTAGACCATATTTAAGATGCAATATTTTTAAGCACCAAAGCAAAATTCAAATCTATTTTTCATAGTATTCTCTTTGGATCATATTTACATATTATTGCTTATTCTTTTCACTCTACTCTCTTCTGTCTTACTTCTACTCAGAAAAAGCAGGATTTAAGGATTCTCAGTAGTAGATCTGGGAATTCTAAGGTACTTTGGGGAACAGAGTGGGTAAGAAGTGGAGGGATAACACAAAACTTCGGACAGCTTTTTCTCCAGGGCAGGAGATGATTTAACAAGATAATGACTCATCCTCTTAGGGAGGATAGAATTTCCCTATTAAAATTTTTTGATTCATTTTGTTTATTTTAACTTAACATCTGACTGTCCCTTTCTCTGGTTTGTCACAGGATCAGGTTGCAATCTGTGAAAGTTTGGCTTGAGAGGAAGGCTTGTAACAAAGGGCGGACATTGGAAGTCCTACAGTGTGACTGCTCAGGAAGCTATGTCGGGGCTATGCTCATGGGACACAAAGTCTCTCTTCCTTGCTTTAAGATTCCCCTCTCCAGTGTTTTACTAACTGACTACAAAATCCCTTCATCCCTTTGTCAAGTAAGAGATCTGTAAAGTGTGTAAGATCGTCACCCTTAGTTTACAAAATAATGTGTTATTTTACATTTAAGAATCTTTCCCTTTTTTACACTTTAGAAAGTTAAAATGCTTTTGATCTCAGAAATGGTATTTGAGAAGCAATTAAAAGCCTATAAATTGGTCTTCCTCACCTGGGATATTTGATCTGACAAAAGCCTTAGGCATTATTAAAGTTTATGCTAAGTCTATCCAGTGATATTTCCTTCAGAAATGAAAATTCAGTAATTATGTAGAGGAGGTTTGTGGGAATGGCCATTAGAAGGAAATAAAAATGCCTTATGGTAAAGCAAGTTCATCATATTTTGTGTGCCGAGGGGCATCTTCAGAGAGAAGTTAAAACAGAGATTAAAACTCAGAGTCAAGGGACAAGGAAACATTTCTATGATCCAATTAGCTAAGGACCTTGACACTTTCATTTATCTTTATTTTCTCATCTATTAAAAAATTTTTTAAAATGTACCATTCTTTGACCTAGAAATATGATATATGCTGTTGATGTTAGATTAAAGTTTTTACTCCTGTAGACGTAAAATATTAAATATTAAAGATGATTCATTCTGTTTATATGTTTATTGAGAATATGTTATGTATGTGGTGCTTGTGTAAGGTGTGGGGTTATATACAACAGAATGATTAGCAAGGTTTGAATATTTTACAAAAACGCTTCTGTGCTCTGTAAGTAAACCACCACTGAGATGAACAGCAAAATCTCCTGCATAAAGCAAAGGAATTTGGGGAATTCCTGCATAAAGCAAAGGAATTCCTTCCTCAGTTGGGAACAGGAGGAAGCTATGCCTTTGATGCTACTGCTTCACCCTCCCATGCCCACTGGCTCTGCTGGGTTGTCCTTCCTCACTGCACTCTTCCTTGTTGCCTTGCATAACCATGGCTCCTCTGTGGTTTGGT